TTGCCCGAGAAGGCACCACCACCATGGGCTCCCCAGCCTCCATACGTGTCAATGATGATCTTCCGACCAGTCAAGGCTGCATCGCCCTGGGGCCCGCCGATGATGAACTTGCCGGAAGGGTTGATGTGCAGGTGCGTGTGGCTGCCGTACAAGCTGATGGCCGGCTGGCCGCTCTTCAGCTTGATCGACTGAAGCGTCCGCTTGATTACCTTCTCTTCAATCTCTTTGTTCATCTGCTCCATGCTGGGGGCCACCATCTCCGCACCAGTGTAGCCAGCACATTCCTGGGTGCGCTTGGCCTTGGAGGGCTCCGCGTGCTGGGTGGAGATCACCACGGTGTGGATCTTCTTGGGCTCCACACTGCCGTCCGGATGCTGCATATACTCGATCGTCACCTGCGTCTTGCCATCCGGGCGCAACCACCAGCACTCACCGCTCTTGCGCACCTCCGTTAGGGTCTTGCCGAGCCTTGTGGCCATGGAGTGGGTCAGCGGCATGCAGTCGGAAGTCTCGTCGCTGGCATAACCGAACATGATACCCTGGTCCCCAGCTCCCACATCCATCTCGTTCTTACCGACATGCACTCCGCCGGCAATGTCCGGGCTCTGCTTGTTGATGCGGACCAGAACCTCGCAGGTCTTGTGGCTCAAACCCTTGCTGTCCACGCTGGAAAGATCATCCACGAAGCTGTCGAAGCCGATCTGTGCCACGACTCCACGCACCACCTTGTCATAGTCCAGCTTGGCGCCGGTGGTAATCCTCTCTTCTTCAATAACGGGCCCCAAAAATTCAAACTTTCTACGATGAAGAATAAACAAATAAATGAATAAATAAATCAATAAATAAATTCATAAATAAATGAATAAATAAAAAATTGTACGTATGTATATATATATATATGTGTGTGTGTGTGCATATATATATATGTAATATGTATATATGTATGTATGTATGTATGTATGTATGTATATATGGTCAAAGAGCTTAACATTTTCCTATTGGCTGCCCAAGGATCTCTCCCGCCACCATGACCATGTTGTC